GGCACAGAGCTAGCAGACATGGTAGAAGTTTGGTCCCTAGATCTCCTGGGACGAGGTCATAAACTTGTGCAAAAGGGAAATAACAAGACATGTTAACACGGATTATCTCTGATCCCAGAGATAAAACCTGGCTGTTGTGAATGGTAAGAGTTCTTTCCTTTATACCTCAGCGTAGTATGCCATTGTGCATATGTACTGCAGGTTTTAAACCACTCATCTGCTGATGGGCACTTAGGCTGTTTCCAAATCTTAGCTTTTCTGCTGCTATGAATATAGGGGTGCATATATCCTTTCTGATTGGCATTTCTGATTTCTTGGGATATGTTCCTGGAAGTGGACTTACTGGGTCAGCTATGAGTTCCATTTTTAATTTTTTAAACAAACTCCATACTGTTTTCCACATTGGCTGCACCAGTCTGTGTTCCCACCAGCAGTGCACAAGGGTTCCTTTTCTTCCAGGTCCTCACCATCATTTGTCCTTTGTTGACTTGTTGATGATAGCCTTTCAGACAGGTGTGAGAGATAGTATCTCTTTGTGATTTAAAAAATATATATATTTTTATTGATTTCAGAGAGAGAGACAGAGCATCAATGATGAGAGAATCATTGATTGGCTGCCTCCTGCACGCCTCCTATTGGACATCAATCCCCCAACCTGGGCATGTGCCTCTGACTGGAATAGAACCCACGACCTTACTGTAGTCCTCAGGCCGACATTCGACTCTATCAACTGAGCCAACCCGTCTAGCGCCCTCATTGTGTTTTTGATTTTCATCTCTGGGATGATTAGTGACTTTAAGCATGTTTTCAATAGGCCAAGAGACATCTGCAAACAAAATTCTTTCTCTTGTGACTAATAGAAATAATTTTATTAAACTCACTGAAGTCACATGTCCACAGGCAACCATCATCATTGTGGCTAAGCCAGTTAGATGTGCTCATACCTCCACTCTGGGGCCCTGAACCACACTTTCCAGAACCACCTGGATGTGAAAATTGGCAGCTGTAAGAAAGGGGGAAATAGAAGTCATGTCCACCACAGTCCATTGTCAAATAAAATGGCAACTTCTGATTTCCACTCAGGCATATAAGTGCTTGGAAGTCCTTACTCTCACCCTTACAATAAGAAAACGATGAACAATCCAAAAGACAGGAACTCTATTTAGATCCATCAGATCACTGAAGTCACCTGGCTATGAAATTAGACTTTGCCGCTTTAAACCACTGAGATTCAGGGCTCTGTCAACACAATACAACCTAGCAATAGTGTGCAGGCCTTCGCGTGCACACGCACACACACAAGCTAGATCCAATGATTTTGTGTGGGAGTAGAAGAAAAGCAGACACAGAAGAGGTGACAATAGGAATTAAAAGAAGGTTGAAGGCACTTTTGCCCGTGACAGTCCTCCTTCTACTTGCTAGCTACTCCCCCTCATGAGCCTGAACATCGCTAAGAAGCAAATGCTGCAATAACCCACTGTGCAGGCAGAGGAGAGGCAGGCCCTGACAGGAACAGTGACTTATCCAGGATCAAGAGGAGGTAGGAAGTAGGGGTTGAGTCTGAGCTTAGGTCTGTCTCCTCAAATCTGGGACCCTGGCTGCAGCCAGACCTTCTAGGGGCTGTGGAGAGGGCATGTTGGTGTCACTGTGTACACTGTTGGATATTCCATGGAGAAGATATTCCATGGAGAAAGTGGGTGAGCAGTCAGCAGGCCACAGGACTAACTATATATGTTATTAGGTGAGGGGATTCGGGGCAGGGGGCAATCCCAGAAAGTGATGTCACTCCCTAATAGAACTTGGAATCCATGTAACCAGGCACCCACTTTCTAGCAACTGCCCAACTGCCACTCACTTGGCAAGAGACGGTTGACAGTTCAACATGTTCTCTTGCTGTGTTCCCAGTCATCAGGGCTCTGGTGCCCAGAGACCCTGCAGAGAGAGGTGTTCCAGACTCTGTAGACGGTTCAACACTCGTGCCCGACATCTCTGGCCATTTTCAAGAAGATCCCCTCAGGTAAGAGAAGGTGGCCTGGGTCAGACCCATTCACACCAGGCCAGCCTGCTCTGGGTGCCATCCCTGTGCAGCCCACATCCCTTGCCCTTCATGTGATGGGAAGAGGGACATTATAGGAGAATCCCAGGACAGGAACAGCTTTCAGGGCAGTGGATAACCTAGAGGTCCTGCTGTGATCACTCCCAAGAGCAGGGAAGGGCAGGACAGGTAATTGGAGATGGGCTTCCAGAGGGGGTCTTTTATGTGAGCCAATAAGAATCCTAGGCCCTCAGGCTGTCATTTCAAGGATGAGAATAAACTGGCCATGGAAACTGACCGCTATCCCAAGAAGTCAACAAGGCCTAGATGCTCACAAATTACTGCTGCTCAAATCCTGTTCTTCTAGCTCCTAATTGCTATTGACTAAATGTACATAAAATGATTTTATATTGTTATTATCCTCTTTTATTTTTTTACTTATTTTTTATTATTATTATTTTTTAATATTCATAGCAGCTTTATTCATAATAGCCCCAAAATGGAAAAAAAAACCAACTATATATTCTTCAACAGCAGGATAAACTGTGATATATTTATACAATGTAGTACTACCAAAAAATAAAAAGAGAAGGGCCCTAACTGGTTCGGCTCAGTGGATAGAGTGCTGGCCTGCAAACTGAAAGGTCACAGGTTCAATTCCAGTCAAGGACATGCACCTTGGTTGCGGGTACATCCCCAGTAGGGGGCGTGCAGGAGGCAGCTGATAGATGTTTCTCTCTCATCGATGTTTCTTTCTTTTTTTTTTTTTAATAAGTTTTTATTGTTAATATTATTACAAATGTTCCTTTTTTTCCCCCCACCATTGCTCTCCACCAGGTTCCCACCCCGCCCTCTGCCCTTTCCCCTCTCCCCATTGTCCTCATCCATAGGTGCACAGTTTATGTTCAGTCTCTTCCCACGCCCTCCTCCCCCCTTTTCCCCAAGAATCGTCAGTTCACTCCCCTTCCATACCTCTGATTCTATTATATTCAACAGTTACTATTGTTCATCAGATTTTTTAATTCCCTTGTTTTTAGATTCACTTGTTGATAGTTACATATTTGTTGTTCATAATTTTTATCTTTGTTTACTTTCTCTTCTGAAAGAACCCCCTTCAGCAATTCATATAATTCTGGTTTGGTGTTGATGCCTTTAGCTTTTGTTTATTAGTAAAGCTCTTTATCTGACCTTCGATTCTGAGTGATAGCTTTACTGGGTAGATTATCTTTGGCTGTAGGTTCTTACTATTCATCACCTTGAATATTTCTTGCCATTCCCTTCTGGCCTGCATGGTTTCTGTTGAGAAGTCAGCTGACAATCGTATAGGTGCTCCTTTAGAGGTAACTACCTTCTTTGCTCTTGCTTCTTTTAATATTCTCTCTTTGTCTTTTGCTCTTGGAATTTTAATTATGATATGTCTTGGTGTGGTCCTCTTTGGATTCCTTTTGTTTGGAGTTCTGTGTGCTTCCTGGACTTGTAAGTCTAATTCTTTCACCAGGTGGGGGAAGTTTTCTCTTACTATTTCTTTCAGTATGTTTTTGATATCTTGCTCTCTCTCATCTTCTGGGACCCCCATAATTCTGATGTTGGTTCGCTTGAAGTTGTCCCAGAGGTTTCTTACATTATCTTCAGTTTTCTGGATTCTCTTGCCTTCTAGCTTCTGTGGAGGAGTGTCTTCTGGCTCTTTATGTTCCAAATCTTTGACTTGATTCTTGCGATCTTCCCTTCTGTTTTTAGGACTCTGTAAAATATTTTGTATTTCAGACAATGTCTTCTTTATTTCTTGTTGATCCCTTATCATTTCTTGATGACTCCTTATTAATTCTAGTTGATCTCTTTTCATATCCTCATAGGTCTTATCCATAGGAAATTCTTGAAAAACCTTATAAGCGTAGATTTGAACTCTATATCCAGATGCTTTTTGTCCTCCATTTCTTTCGTTTGTGATCTATTTTGTTGTCTCATTTCGCAGTTACAGATGGGATGGGGTTTCAGGGTGGAGCCTGCAGCTTTGGCTTCCGTAAGCCCCGCCCTATGCGGGTCCTTCAGTGCTCGCTGCAGGTGCCTCTGAGAGAAAGGTGCCCTTGATTTTCGCCTGCTGCCAAACAGTCTATGCTCTCCCCCAATGAGCCTGGTATTGGGGTTCAGTTCAGTTGGAAGTGGAGTTGGAGGTGGCGTTCAGAGCAGTCTGGAGCCCCAGTCTCCTTCCCGTCAGGGCAATCCAGCGGCACAGCTGGCCATCCCTTCTCTGCACTCAGTGTGCGCCCTGCCAAGACCTCCTTTCGCCTCTTCCCGGGGTTCTGCCTTACAGCCCGGCTCCCTATGGCTGAGCCTGAGTCCCTGGGGTCTGGCCTAGAACTGGGGTTCAGAGCAGTCGGGGGCCCAGCACAGTCGGAGTTTTATCTCCTTCCCGCTTGGGAACGCCAGCCAGGCACTCGGCCTCCCTCCTCTATGGCTCTGTCCTCTCCGCGCCCGCCGTGTCTCCGTACCTTGGGCTTTTCCAGCTCCTCCGCTCTTCCTTCTGGTTTTCTCCTTGCTTCTCGCTGTAGAATTTCCAGTCAGTCAACCTTCCTGTAGTTCTGGGCAATGTCCGTTTTATATTTTAGTTGTATTTTATTGAAATTGTTGTGTGCTGCTGCGGCTAGGTGTTCACCTGGGCGCAGCCATCTTGGATCCTCTCTCCTGTTATTATCCTCTTTCTGATTGCTAATGGAAATATTATCTGTCAAATATATTCTATCTGAGAAATATTTTCCTCACCAGTGGAGGTCTAAGTAGATCACACTGTGTGAGTGCGTGTGTGTGTGTGTGTGTGTGTGTGTGTGTGTGTCTGGATTGGAGGGTCACAGGAGTCACAGAACCAGTAAGACAGGGCTCTGAGGCTTTCCCCTGGTGACTGGGACTGTCTTTACAGAGCTCCGCACAGGAGAACAGACCGGACCTGACAGATGGGGTCCTCAACTCAATGCCCCTGCAGAAGGCACAGGTGCCTCACACCTCCTCCAGCATGCAGCACTGCTGCAGGGTGAGTATAGGTGACCAGCAGCTCCATACTCCAGCACCTCTGGGATTCAACAGGACCTGGGTTCCAGAAGGCACACTGCTTCTCCCCTAGCATCCAGTTTCCAAAGGTCCCCATTTCCTCCAGGTCAGGAGCTGCGCTGCTCCTTGGGCTGTAGGGACTGGTTATCATGGGGACCTATGTCTTCATTGCTGTGGGACTTGGACCTTATCCCCTCTGTTGCCATGACAATGGTGCCACCCTGAATACAACACATGTCCTAATATCCCAGAAAAAGCCTCTGTGTTCTCATCTTACATTGGGATGTTTTGTCAGAAATCACATGGGAGACACTGTTAATAAAGCATGTGCTGTCTGTCCTCTGCTAAGAAAATGACCTAAGATACTAACATATTTCATATTCCTCACCTCCAATTCTACTTTTTCCTACAAAGAACCTTTTCTCTTATCAATGTGAAAAATGTTCAAAGTTGTGAAAAAGTTTTGTGCATTTATTTGACCTAATGTGTTGATAGTCGTGGGCAAGCAAGTCTCAATGTGTTGAGATAATGGCACTGAGAATGACAATTTTGCACCTTATTTGATACATTACAAGGAAAAGTGCAGACTTATGTGTGTTACATGAAATCCATGGGTGATAGATTAGGGAGAGAGGAGAAAGCAAAGTGTGGGAACTTCTGTGATTGGATAAATGGTAAAATGATAGGCACATACTTCTTCATCATAGGTGGATGTAGGATAGTTTTAAGTCAACAATGAACTGAATGACAGAGATCTTTGTTGATCTTTGCAGAGTATAGAGTGGTGCCTATGCATGAGTTGTTTCAAACAAGGAACATTCCCTTGATAATCCAAATATTTGTTATCATAAACGCAAATAGTTAGTACACAGAATCTGTTAATATGAAGATTGACCTTTGTCAAGGAAAATGCCAGACTAGGACATGGCTACCCACCATGAGCTCCTTTTAGTTAGTGTTTTAATTTCAGGCCATCCTATATGGTTACTTAAGGTCTCTGAGTTTGCAAGGCCACCACACCAGAGTTCCCTGAGCTAGTCAGGTTAGCATGTAGCCCCTTTTATCATTCATGCACCCTCCTTTTGTTCATAAATCAATACAAATTTTGCATCGATGAACAGTGTTTGTGTGTCCTCTTGGTGAACAATGGACCATTGGGGATGAGGCAAGACCATAACCTTAAATGGCATTCAAGGTGGAATTTTATGATTCTTCAAAATAAAAAAGGCAGACGCTTGGAAGACCGTGAGATCCTTTATGTCCTTGTTACAAAATATTCTGTATCGATTTTAAAGTTTGAGCTATCCTGAGCAGGTTCCTTTTGCTTCTTGCCTTAAGTTTGGAATTATGAGTCTAGTATAACATTTACAACCAGGAACAAAAGCAATGGTATTAAAGCAGTAACACCGTTTAGAAATAGAAAGTGACTAGTGCTAGACTGAGGGGAATAAGCAACCCAGCCTACCAAAAAAACACAAACAAACCCACAAACAAACAAACAAACAAAAAAAAAAAACACTTTGCACGTATTACCATAATTGTTTATTAAGTTAATTATATGTTTTCCTGCAGGAGGCACAGGTGCCCCATTCCTCTTCCAGCAGGTCACTTGTACTTATGCTTCATCCACTGTCACTTGTGCTTTGCTATGTTTGGCCAGATGAGTTAAGACTCTACACTTTCGTTATGATAACTGATCATCAGAATATCATTGTCTAGTAGGTCGGAAAAATTAGGAGGTATCCAAATTCAAGTTTTCATGTGTAGTAAGGAAGGGGCCTGGGGAGACAGATAATATTTCCATTAGCAATCAGAAAGAGGATAATAACAATATAAAATCATTTGATGTACATTTAGTCAATAACAATTAGGAGCTAGAAGAACAGGGTTTGAGCAGCAGTAATTTGTGAGCATCTAGGCCTTGTTGACTTCTTGGGATAGCGGTCAGTTCCCATGGCCAGTTTATTCTCATCTTTGAAATGTCTTCAATCTCCGTGGTAGATGGAAACCAGTATCAGAGACAGATGTTCATTGTGGTTAAGCCTCTGATGAAGTAAAGTCCCTTTAGACATGTTGGAGAGAGTCTATAACTAATGTGTTTCAATAAACTAAACTCCCCTGATTAGAAGTTTTGGTCTATAAAGTTTTTGCCTCTTGGGAGTACTGTGAAATGAATGTCCCAAATGTATCAGTCCTTATAACCTAATTAGTGAGTCATTGATAGTAGTGTAGAATACATGCTTTTTGTTTTCCTTATGTTTGGAAAACAAAAAAGTTTTTAAAAATCAATAGTATTTTAAACAGAGTCATAACAACAATAACCGTCTTCATTTCTTATAGTTCTGTACCTATTTTTTGTTTATCCTGGTTATTTGCCAGTATTTTCATGAATTCAGTTATTCCTTAGAATTCTATACTTCTTCATTCAGTTCAAAGATGTGACCGGCTAGGAAACCTGTTATTTAGAGAACTTAGTGTCTTTCTCATGGATTTTTCTAAAGATGTAACATATTTGAAAATTCATCAGAGCAAAACAGTAACTATGTATGAATGACAAAACAAAGTGGTTATAGTTTTGTTTGTAATGCTATATATATATATATATATATATATATATATATATATATATCATTATATATATTTGCTTTTTTGGTAAACTATACCAAGGCAATAATTTTTGGAAAATAATCTTACCTAATAACAGACAAACATGCTAATTGTCCGTACTTTTGCAACTCCTCCCAGCCAATCAGGAGTGGGTCTGCAAATTAGCCCAATATAATAGGGCTTAATTTGCTTACATAGCCACTCTGGGCCTCTGAGCAGAGCAAAAATGGTGCCAGCAGCCAGGGAAAGGAAGACCCATTCTGGCACGAATCTTTGGGCATCAGGCTTCTAGTGATTACTATAAAATGACGGAGAATAATATGAAAACATATAAGTATATGTATATGTTTGGATTCAATACACAATTTCGATATAAAAAGATCAAATAACATGTAAGATTTTGAAACATTGTCCATGGCTTCTTGTATTGAGCATTGGGGATAATTCATAAACTTCCAATGTTTGCACCACAAATACCTGGAGTCCCACAGCTAGATGCTCTCACAGGGAACCATCCCTCCTGGCTGGCAGGGTTTGGCTGACACCAAGACCCCTGTTCTACTTGAGAGTTTCCTATTTGAACTTTTCTTTGAATCTTTCTACCTTCCTTCCTAGGACAGGTTGAAATCTTTAGAACTTCCATTTTAATAAAAGTATATGTACACAAATAGCACAGTTGTTTTCATTTTTTAAGTTGGTTAAGCTTCTCAGGTAATTTCAAGCGTATGAAGTAGGACTAATTCAGGTCCACTATGGTTCTTTAATAAGGCAAGAGAATAAATCCTTTAGGTATTTCAGGGCCCGTTGGAATTAACTCAAACTCATCTTTTGTTTAAAAAGTCTCTTAAAATAGAAATTTTAGGAAGGTTGTCAAATATACTTATGCAAAAGATTATACCATGGACTTTTTGTAAATCTAAGTAAAGCAAACACAGAGATATTAATAATACTTATAAAAGGTTTTAATATTAAATATTAAATATTTTGTCCAAACTACAGAATTCACCTTAATTTACATAAATATTTAACGTTTTAGATGAATAAAAGATTATATCCTAGTAATGCCATCTGGAGGTTGAAAATTCACCACACATAACACATAGATGAACACATATCCCACAATTTTAATTTACTAATTTTTTCAGAGAAATACCAGAATATTTTATGTAAAACTTTCACAAAAGTTTATAGTCTATATCTCCTTTTACAAACCTTTTCTTAACTTTCACCAACCTTCTCACCCATTCAGAAATAACTATCCTTAGAGAGAAATTTGCATTTCACCTTTTCCTTCAAATATGACTCCCCATACCTCAAGCCTTCTGTTTTTACAACTATGCAATTTCTTCCTTCTTAGCTGGAACTTTTAATCTTAGGAGCCTTAATTTACAATGATAACCACAAAGTGAATAACCGGCAGTCCTTAAATTGACCATGATGAACATATTGCAATCACACTCTCACATTCAAGAAACACACCTTTCACAAAGCACACAACATTACATCAACTCCAAATCCATTTTACAGACCTTCTGTAATAATAATTAAAAAAAACACCCAAAAGCAGGTGAACATAATTCTTGTCTAGCAAGCAATGTTCAGTATTTCATGTTATTTCAAAATTTCTAGATATTCTATAACTCTCATTAATTCCAAGTTAGAAAGAAATAGTTGAAATAAGCTAAAATGATTTGTGCAGGTGCGTAAGGTATTTTTTTCTATTGGGATAAGACATATCTTCCAGAGACAAATGGCCTAGACAAGAGGTCTTGGTGAACTCGGGTATTTTCACTTCAAAGGTTCTGGGACTTTGGTTGCATAAAGCCAATTATCTACAAGCCTCTGAAATGACTAGGGGAGGTTTGGGGAAGGTAAAAGGATTTGATGGGCTTGCTTTGACATGTTTCTGGAGCCAAAACTCTGGCCTCTTGAAAACTTCATTTGTAAAACAAGGATAGTCATCTTCAATACCTCAGGGACTGGGTTGCCAACCAACTGTTGGCAAGGGACTGAGAAAATCATTCACCATTTTTGGAATGTTTCTATTTGGGTACATTTTTTCTAGTTTCCAGAAAGCACACACCTCTGAGAGGTATAAAGGCCTTCAGGTATATGAAACCTCTGTCCATCTCCCTTGGGAATGGCAAGACAGGTCCTAGCTGTATGATAGTCTTAAAATTAATGATGCAAAACCTCTCTATTACCCACTTTATATTGGGAACAGGTAAGTGGTGCAACCAAAGAAGATTGGACTCCTCCTTGAGGGACTCAGGGTCAAGTTGCCCCATTTGATGGATTTGTACCCCATAAGAGCACCCTCACATCACTGTGGGCCGTTTCCCCATCTACAGAGAGACTTAAGAGCAAGCCCAGTATTAGAGGCATCTCTGCACGTGTTTGGGTTGTTTGGGGCCATTCTGGGTAGGGTGGGTATCCTGTGAAACCTACTCTCAGGCTCTCGTGGAAGATAATAATGAAGGAAAGACGACTAGCAATCGTTCGGTCAGTTTCAAGGTTAGTTTCCACCGGGAAGGCTCCTTTAAAATCATTAATTTCCCTTTTGGTTTAGTATCTGGTTCATTTAGTCTGAATTGGGGAAGATTTGATAAGCATTCCATTGATATATAGGCCCATAACATTGCCTTGTTGCAAGGAAACAGGTTTTGATTAAAAAACAGACAATTGTAGGGAAGCAATTATTTGGGTGAGGTTAAAAACAAATAAAGTAGCCTCAGTATATACAGGAGGCTTAGTGGCTTCTCCCCACCCTTCCCCCTTTAAAAAAAATAGATGTGTATTGATTTCAGCAAGAAAGGGAGAGGGAGAGAGAGATAGAAGTATCAATGATGAGAGACAATCATCAATTGGCTGCCTCCTGCACACCCCCTACTGGGGATACAGCCTGCAACGTGGGCATGTGCCCTTGACCAAAATCAAACCTGGACCCTTCAATCCTCAGGCTGATGCTCTATCCCATGAGACTAAGTGGCTAGGTCAGTCAGTGGCTTCCCTTTTAATGATAATTTAAAATTCTCCCAAACTATCAGTGAGAAGGGTAAACACATTGGAGCCACCCTATACTTTTTTTTGTTGTTGTTGTTGTTTTGTTTACTTTTTCTAAATGCTATTTCATTTCCTATAATTCTTAAAGTGGGCAGACTTCTCCACAGCAGGTTTCTGACAACCTTATTCGGTAATTCTGTTGCTGTGCTCCCAGAAACCTGGAGTATATTAATTGGCATAGGTTAGAATGGCCAGGATTACATGGATTTCATTGCAACAGTGAAGTTTCTTGGTGAACCAAACAAGGCCTCAGAGAGAATGGAGAAGGATTGCTGGTTCCTCGGTGGCTGAGAACAGCTTTCCTCCAAAGGGAGTTGGTAGAATTCCTATTCTCATTTCCCTTAAGTCAGTGGGGAGTGGCAGTGGAGGAGTCAGAAGGCGAAGCAAGAAGGAAAGGGAAAGAACATTTCTGGACAAGGAAGCTCAGGGGACAAAAGATGTAGTGGGCATGCTATAGAAGTGGGAGATGGCGTGTTAGCATTTATTAACTTCAGGAGATAGTCACCGAAATTTCTTTTTTAAAGAGCATTTATCTGGGGTTCTCCTTAGAATTTTCTAATTTCCAAATCAAGATATGCGTCCAATTTATTCATACAGTTTAATTCTCAGGCCAGCATTTTTCTAGTTTTGTTTCCCACCTCCCAACCCCTCTGGGAAAAATTAATGTAGGCACCAAAGACAATTGTTTGTTGACCATTTCTCAGTTGATATGTTCTAGATAAATCTTCCTATTTGTATAAAGCACTTGCAAGTCAAGGCTTTCTATCGGGGATATTAATGAGGGCTGGATCCTGGGAGTTCCATGGAGGCACAACTTCCCATGTTAACTAGAGGTGTGTTTGCTGCTGCTGTTTTTATTGTTGTTTGGTGTCTGCAGAGTCTCAGCACATCTTCGAGGATGTGATGTAGTGGGTTGAAGAGTGCTGCTTTGTAGATTGAGCTGCACGATGCTCACTCCCCTAGGGTCTCATCCAATCCTCTTATGTGCCTCGGTTTCTCTCCCTGCTGTGTAAAACCACCAGAAGGGCTTCCAGTGCAGGTGGACCAAACCTGATTAGTCCTCCCTGTGAAGAGCCAATTAGTTTGGTCGCAGTTGTTTGGGAATTTCCCTATGGGGCTTGGGCGTGCCATGAGGAAGGACCTCCGACATATCCGCAGAGATCCTCAGTTGTCCAAGAACAGCTGAGATTCCTGCGGGAAGAAGGATGGGCCCCTTTATCTTCCTAGGTGAACCAGAGCAGCTCTCATTTATACATCCAAGGTGTTTTCCCCAGTCTCTCAAAAGGCAATTCCAACAGAAAAGCAAGAACCAGGCTCATTTTTCCTCCTATCTCTCCTTAGCCTGAGATCTGTCAAGCGTTCACCTTAGTTCCACCAAGAGTATTAAAAAAATATGGCTTAAATAAAGTCAGCAGCACAAGCAAGAGCAGGTCCTGGATCCAAGAGACAACTTACACAAGTTCACCTGATGGACAGGGAACTGGTGGGTCAATGGGCCGTCTGCTGCATCCCAGCACCAGGTGTAGGTCTGCAGGGTGGTGCTGGGTGAGCTTTTCTGGGATCCTGCTGTATTGTGCCAAGTAAATGTCAATATAAGAAGCAGTCAAAACTGGGAACGATTGTTGGGATTTTATCTGAGCCAAACTGTCAGTTGTCTTAAAGAAAAATCTCAATGGATTGAAATAACGCTCTTGAGAATGGCAGCTTTCACCTTATTTTACATATTACAATCAAAAGTGGAGATGTATGTAGGTTGCATGAAATCCATTGGTTACAGATTGTGTAAAAAGTAAAACGATGGACACATAATTCTTTCCCATATGTGGATATCCTTATAGAACAGCCACCAATGAACTCAACAATGAGGGGATTTGTGGTCTCCACAGAGCACAGAGAGTCCGGAACAAGGAAAATTCCATTGATATTCCAAAGCTATGTTCTTGTCCATTGCAAAAGACAATAGGCAGTTTCAGTGAAGGTAAAGAATCATATATATATATATATATATATTTTTAGAGAAGATTACAGCCTAGGACAGGACGACCTGCCACAAAGTACTTTAGTTAAAAAGTTTTAATGTTAGGACATCCTGTGGAATAACTTTAGGTCTCTGAGTTTAAAAGACCACCACCCAGGCCTCCCCTGACCTAATCAAAGTTTAGCGAGTGGCCACTTTTTGTGTCTGCACACTCGATCACCTATGCCCCACCTCTTGTCACCAATCATGTCTCTCCTCTGTCCCACCACAGGAGGACAAAGCATCAACCCTGAGTAGGAAAAGGACCTGTAGGGTGCCACCAGCTGTAGATTGCTCACGAATTGTGGGGCTGGCCAGCACATCCACTGTGCTCAAAACACAGGTAGCCCAGAACCTGTTAGCCACCTGGGCGGTGGACTGCTCCAGCCCCAGCTGTGTGCCCAGGTGGTTCAGTGTCACTTTAAAGAAGCTAGTGGTCTTCAAGGAGCTGGCGAAGGACCTAGTTTCCGTGGTGATTTCCGTGAAGATGCAGGACTCCAAGGGCATCCTGAGGTCCAAAGAGATTATGTTGCCTCCCAGTGAACCAGTGGGGACTGACCTGGCGCTGACCTTCTCCCTGCAGTACTCCCACTTCCTCAAGGGAGAAGGCAACAAGCTCCAGATCATGCTGGAGCAGAGGAAGCGCTATAAGAACAGGATCGTCCTGGGCTACAAGACACTGGCCACGGGCGCCATCCGCATGGCTGATGTCATGGGGAGAAACTCCAAGTGCGGCCAGATGCTGAGCCTCTACAGCACCGTCCAGGAGCCCTCCACCAAGGTGGCTGAAGTCTGGATCTCCTCCCTGTCCAGTCAGCCCATCAAACATGAGGAAAGTGCCAAGCGGGCCAGGCCGAAGGCCAAGTACGCAGGTAACTACACTCAGAGCCCCTTGCCTGAGCTGGAGGCCAGCTGCAATAGAAAGCACAGACAGGACCTGCACAAGGATGACTTTGGGAAGGGGAAGCCAAAGAAGCAGCGGCGGTCCATACGAGGAATGGACTTGAAGCGAAAAGTCCTGGTGCTGTGTCACAGGTCCAAAGTGTCAGAGAGGGACCGTGGCTCTGACACGGAGGATGATGAGAGCGTCCTCAGCGTCCCTAGGCCCAAGCTCAGGCCATACTTTGAAGACATGTCAGACTCCAGCTCGCAGTCGGAGATGCGGGGCAGCCATAATGACAGAAGCCAAACGGAGCCTCTGAGTCTGGCCCACATGCCAGAGAATGCATGGGCCATGGGAGGCAAGCAGCCAAGTGAGAGTGACGATGAATTTGATGCCTACAGCACACCCACCAGCCAGGTGGAGAAGATCCGGATGACTTCCCTGTCCAGGCCACGCATCGACCACGAGGACAGCACCAGGCAAACCAGTGCCAAGGCTGAGTCCTCAGACAGCTCCTCTGAATGCAAGTGTGAGACCTGCTTCTCAAAGCTGGAGGGCAGCTTCAATGATTCCCACAGGCAGGAACAGGAGAAGGATGACTTCAAGGAAGAGAATCTGGAAGTCACAGGGGGGACCATGACCATGCAACAGAACTACCGCGATAAAGTCCTGTTATGGCTGCACACAGTCCAAGTGTGGGAGGAGGCCCTGGACCCTGAGCAGGATCATGGGGAGCATGTCCTGGAAGTGGAAGAGGACCTGGACCTCCTGGATGACATGCTGGAGGCTCCCAGTGACAGTGGCCCAGACACTGAGGGCGATGACGGTGTCCTCAGCACCCCCACACCTCAGCTCAGGCCATACTTCCGAGGCCTGTCTAGTGACTCGGACATGAAGGACAATCACAGTATCCTCAGCAGCCCCAATCCCAAGCTCAGGCCATGCATCGAGGGGCTGCCAGGCTCCAGCTTGCAGATGGAGATGTGGGGCTCCCACAGCGCCAGGATCCAAAAGGAGTCTGTGAGTCTGGCCCAGGTGCCTGAGAACACGTGCACCCCGGGAGGCAAGCAGCCAAGCCATAGCGACTCAAACTTGGTGGCCTACAGTACATGCACCACTAAGGTGGACAACATGCAGATGGCCTCCCTGCCCAGCCGGCCCATCGATCGTGAGGCCAGGGCCAGGCAGGCCAACACCACGGCCCAGACCTCACCTAACGATGCTGCCGGCCCGTCTGGCAGCTTCTTTCAGCAGGCAGCCAGCTACAGTGCGGCCCACAGGCAGTCCCAGGAGGACAACTCTGAGGAAGGGAACCTGGTAGTAAGAAGGAGGTGCACCACCTTGCAACAGAATTACCACCAGGAAGCCGTGGCATCTGTGCTCATGACCCAAGTGTCGGAGAAGGTGGTGTCCTCAGAACAGACCCTTGCGAGGTATGTCCCCAAAGTGGAGAAGGCGCAGGTTAGTCGCCATGACATCGTGGAGAGCTCAAGCGAGAGTAGCCTAGACACGGAGGACTGTATCAGTGTCCCCAGCACCCCAAAGCCCAAGCTCAGGCGATACTTTGACAGCACATCAAATGACAGTGACTCTGACTCAGTGGCCCACAGAATTTGCTCCCCTGGGGTGCAGTTGGCACAGCTGGAGGACAGCCGGGAGGCAGCATCCTCTGCCAGGGGTTGGTTCACCAGGAAGCTGCCATCCATAGTGCGCTTCACCAAGTCTCTAGTCGTCCCCTCCAGCAGGTCCAAGAGGAAGCAGGCTGGCCACCACGGCTGCAACACATCCCTGCTTGAGCGGTTCAACAGACCGGATGACGAGGACCCAGAACCACAGAGCCAGCGGCAGATCCCCAGCAAGCCCGTGCATGACCAGCTAAATGTCATCCTCATTTCCCCAGACAAGCTGCCTGAGAACGTCATTCTGGTCAACACCTCAGACTGGCAGGGCCAGTTACTTTCGGACATCCTGCAGGGGCACACGCTGCCCGTGGTATGCACTTGTTCCACAGATGACGTCCAGGAGGCCTTCAGCATCATCGTGTCCTGGATGCAGAGATACTGCGACTGCACTTCCCAGGCCCTGACGCCCGTGAAGATCGCAGTGGCAGGGGCACAGCCCTACTTCAACGCTGTGCTGCGGGTCTTTGTGGAGCTGCTGTCCCACCAGCCACCCCAGTGGCTGGACTACCTGTGCTTCCTGGTCATCCCTCTGGGTTCCCACCCCTTGGCCAGCTACCTGGGCTCCATGGATTGCCGCTATGACAACTTCTTCCACGACCTGTACTGGTGGGACATGTTCAACAACCTGGAGTCTCTGAACACCTTGCAGGACACACAG